CCACCTGCGGCACGTCCGCCGGGCTGAGGTTGAGCAGCACCGTGCCGTGCGCTTCAGGAGGATGGCGGACGCCAGCCCCAGGGGCCCCAGCGAATAGTGCTCTGTCCTTCCCAGGCCCGGGTCCTCCTCTCGCCTGCTGTGCTTACATCAGCCTGCAGCCTCCCTCCCGGCTCCTCCACCTCTCTCCAACCCCCTGCCAGCCCCCTCCGCTCGCAACAGCCCCCCACACCCTGGCTGGTCCCCTCCCAACGTCTGTGTGCTGGACGTGAGGCTGTTGGTAGGGTCAAACCGAAGCCCCACACGTGGCGTGAGGTGCTGCTTGACATCTCTTGGAGAGCCCCATTCCCTGTGTCCTTCACCGCACACCTTCTCCAAATCCCACCGCAGTTCACCCTGCGTTGCCCCCAAGCCAGGCTCCTCTTTTCAAAGCCATCCTCCCCTGTCCAGCCTGCTGGCTTCTCCGCAGCAAGGCCGTTTGCACAACAAAAAGTATCACAGACCGTTCTGGAGGCAGCCCCTAGCACGGCATGGCGCCATTTCCTGCCGGGCGCATCCTGCTTCATGGCTGATCTGACTTGAGCACAGGAGCTAGTGAGCGGGTCGGAGCGAAGAGCAAACTCCAGCCGTGCGTGCCCACCCCGATTCACCGCCGCGCAGGCCGGCTGCTGTTCAAATGGACTCAGCCCCGGAGGGACCCAACCAGCGCCGTGCGCCCAGCGGGACAAGCTGGAGTGGGCTGCTACCGCATAAATATTAAACAACTCGTCACCGCTCTCCTTCCTGTCCCCTCGCCAGCCCTGGATAATTACAGACGACACTTTCATGGGATTTAAAGGCCCAGCGGCGCTTGAGATCGTCCTGATTGTTGTGTGCGTCTCGTTTACATTATTAAAGCGCGGGGCTTAGCGGGGATGAAGTGTGTCTCCGCAGAGCGGGGGCGCGGGCGGCAGCTGAGTCCCGCATGCCCCATTCTCTCTTCAAACACTGACTCGAGGCATAGCAGCGGGTGCGTCGCTCCCTTCGGAGACGGTCGCATTAGGTCCTGTTGTTCATTGGCTTCGCTGGTGGAGCAGCACAAACCCAGCCGTGCCTGGCTGGTTCATTGCAAAGCGCCTGGTGCCCGCGGTGGATCCCGGAACATCTGGCTTAGCCCTCTGGCTCTGGGGCGGCTGTGCCGACAGGTGCCCTGCTCACAGCACTGGCCGGCTCAGGGATGCTGCCTGATGTTTTGTGTACAGTAAAGAGGGCTGTAGGAAGAGGAAATTCTCTGTAACCCAAATTCCGATCGAATTCAGGGAACCCCAAGCCCCCAGCTGTTCCCTGTGTACTCCCCAGTGGAGGAGGGGCAGGGCACTCTACCCTGAGACGGGAAGAGAGAGGGTCATTTCCCTGCTCTGCCTCCGTTCTCCCGTTGGTACCTGGCCTACCTCCCGCGGGTGGCAGGATAAATGCCTTAGCGACGGAGGCGTCCCCGGGCCGCGGTGCTGGGGGTCAGAGAAGCACCGTACATGGCCAGAAGCGTTACTGGGAGACGCCGGGAGCGTCTCCTGGGAGTTTATTTAATGCGATTAAAGTAAACAGCCGTCATGCCTCCGAAGGAGCCGGTGCTGCCGGTTTACAGCTGCCGGTGCCCGTCTCTGGGGCAGTCAGCGGAACAGTTGAATGGATCTGAGCGACTTGAGGGCCGTTGCAACTGAGCGGTGTTCGCCAGGCCGGGTGTGCAGGGCTACGTTGATGCACACCTAGGCGCTAGAACAGGGAAGGCCCATGATCTCGATGTTACCACAGCTGGGCTGATTCCAGGGAGACCAGTGCAGAGGACTTGCGAGCCGCTCCTGGTCAGCTGAGTGGTGTTTCACGCTTGTTTCGCACTAGTGTAAGTGACACCACAAGGGTGGGACAGCGCCCGGAGAGCCCTTTGTCCCGTAACGCGCTGTGTCTGAGCCGGTGTCATTTCTGCGTCACTCCGGTGCAGTCAGCCTGAGCCCCTGGTCCCAAACCCACGTTGGAGCCGGTTTCTGCCCTTGCAGTGGTGTGAACCCAGAGTAGCCCCGCTGGTGTCAGCGCAGCTTCGCCCTGTTCCCATCAGCCTCACGAACCGCAGCGTCGGGCTGGAGGTGGGAAATGAAAGAACTTGCTCGTGACGCTAGCGGAGGGGGAGAGGAGAGTCGGGGGGTGCTGCAGATGGTGGTGTGAGCCTTCGGTATCCTCGCCAGGCACTGGGCGTGGAGGGCTGGTCTCGAGCCTTCTGGGGGTTCATGGAGATTTGAAAGTCTTTCCACTCCTGGGAGGAAGGGGGGTGGGGGGCTTGCTGCAGTAACATTCCCTGAGCCCTCAACAGAGGGGGTACATGCAGGGCCTGCCCCCTTCTCCGGCACAGGGGGCCCTGGAGACATGCCATGGGCCCAGAGAAGTCAGGGCCTTGGTTTTTAAGGCCGTGTTTCCGTAGGATGATGGCAGTAAAGGGCGGGGGGCACTTGACCTTGTAGCCCCAGGGGCTCTGCTGTTTCACGCCTGATGCCCTGAGCTGTCTGTGACTCCAGCCTAAATCGCCCACTGCTGCTGTTAGCCTGTGTCCCCCGCTCCATTTCGCTGCTGCTCTGGTGTGTTGCAGCCGAAGCGCTGGCCCACGTAGAGGATAACAGCTCTGCTACTGCTCCCAGCCGATGGAGTTCTCCGGTAGCGCCGGGGCGGGAGCCTGCACTTTGAGTGCTCAAGGTCCCAGTTCCGAACCCGCTGGCAGGCTGGAGCAGGGAGGGGACGGCTCAGGGAGGAGGGGCTGCGAAACATCTGGAGGTGGCACAGCTGGGCGCTGAGTGCGGGGAACGGCCTGGCTAGCGAATCTCATCCCACTCTGTCCCCCGTCTCCCCCCGCAGACGTGGGCTCAGTGGAGGGGCTGGCGTACCACCGGGGCTGGGACACGCTGTACTGGACCAGCTACACCACGTCCACCATCACCCGGCACACGGTGGATCAGAGCCGCCTGGGGGCCTTTGAGCGGGAGACAGTCATCACCATGTCAGGAGACGATCACCCTCGAGCCTTCGTGCTGGACGAGTGCCAGAAGTAAGTGCTGGGGCCTCGTGCGGGCGAGCGGAGCGGCCATCCTGGAGACAGACAGCCTGTGCACGGGGCTAGGGGGGAGAGCCCCCTGCCGCGGGCCTCAGCCTTGCTCCCCCATTGCTGGAGCTTAGGGGGTACGAGCAGTCTCTCTGGGCCTGCTCTCGAGGGGGCTGCGGTGCCTTTGGTGACTGGGACACGTGTAACCGGGAGTGGGCTGAGCACAGCAGAACTCATTTCACAGACAGGCCGTGGGAACGTCCAGTCACGGGCATTCTGGGCCGGATCAGAGCCGGCGCCTCCTACAGGGGAAAGACCCCATGCCCCATTCCCCACCCCCCTAAGCCAGTGTCTCCCCTGCTCTGGGGCCGGATCGGAGCCGGCGCCCCCTACAGGGGAAAGGCCCCATTCCCCACCCCCCTAAGCCAGTGTCTCCCCTGCCCTGGGGCCGGATCGGAGCCGGCGCACCCTAGAGGGGAAAGGCCCCATGCCCTGTTCCCTGTGCCACGGAGCTGACCTGGAGTTAAATGTGAAGCATCGCGTGAGCGGATTGGCAGAGCTCCTGTCAGGGGATCCCTAGCGGGTTTCCCCAGCTGCTGGGATTGGTTTTCTGGCGGACTCTCTAGTCTAATCCCTGTTACTGCCCCTCCCGTCCCCGATCCTACCGGGTCATATCCCTGTAAATGCACCAGCAGCCCCATTCAGCCCAGAGCCTGGGGGGATCCCCCAGTGAGCCGGGAATAGCAGCGTGGGGCTGTAGCCCGGAGCTCCCCAGTCCCAGAAGCCAGGCGGGCCGTCCCCAGGGTCTCCGACTCAGCTGGGGCCCACCCTGCAGCCCCGCCCGGCTCAGCCCCCCCCCTCCCGCCTCCCTCCCCTCAGCCTGATGTTCTGGACCAACTGGAATGAGCAGCACCCCAGCATCATGCGGGCCACCCTGGGCGGGGCCAACGTCCTCATCATCATCGACCAGGACATCCGGACGCCCAATGGGCTGGCCATCGACCACAAGGCCGAGAAGATCTACTTCTCTGACGCCACGCTGGACAAGATCGAGCGCTGCGAGTACGACGGGTCCCACCGCTACGTGAGTGCGGGGGGCAGGTGTAGATCCCCTGGGGCAGGGGGCCTGGGGAAAGCTGGCTGGATCCCCTGGAGATGGGCAGAGTGGAGCCTGGTTCGGCGTTATCACCATGGTGGGCGGTGATGGCACTGGCAGGGCAGATGGCCTGACCCTGGGCACAGCCTCCTGTGAAGGGTAGGACCCCCCCCCAGTCCAGGGACTGTCCAGTGTTGGGGGCGGCTGCGGCCGTTGGTCCCGTCCGCCCCCAGCCCCCGGGCTAACGGTGTGAGGCGCCCGGCAGGTGATCCTGAAATCGGAGCCGGTGCACCCCTTCGGCCTGGCCGTCTACGGCGACTACATCTTCTGGACGGACTGGGTGCGCCGGGCTGTGCAGCGGGCCAACAAGTATGTGGGCACGGACATGAAGCTGCTGCGCGTGGACATCCCCCAGCAGCCCATGGGCATCATCGCCGTGGCCAACGACACCAACAGCTGTAAGGGAACGGACCGGGAATTCCTGCCTGGAGCCCCCACTGCCCGTCCCGCCCGCCCCGCCCCGTCCCCTGTGCGGGCTAGGGGTGGGAATTTACCCCATAGAGACCCCCCCTGCCGGTCCCAGTCCCTCCCCAGCAGACTGCTGAACCCCCATTCAGCACAGGGGCCTGGTCCTGTCTCCCCTTGGCTCTGGGAACCTGCCGGCCACTCCCAGCGCCCGGGATCCTGCACCCAGCCCTTCCTAGAGCGTTGGCCGGGGTCTCCTCTGGGCCT